AACGTGACTGATCGAGTAGCGGTCGTATCAATGCATCTAGCCGACAACGAAACCCCGGGTTCTAGTCAAATGACCCCCGCGACCGTCGCACCGCCCGCGCCGTCCATCCCCGCGCAAATTCATTCGTCTCGAGTAAACAGTGCACACATAGATAATTCTAATTTAATTCACAAACAATCTACTATGCGACCCGTTATATTGTCTACAGCTATAGTCGAGATAGCCGATAGGTACAATAAGTTTCACTTAGCACGCGCGCTTCTCGACTGTGGTAGTCAACATTGTTTTATTTCTAAACCACTATGCGATTTAATTAATATAAACTTAATACAGTCCACTTGCGAAATTCGAGGTGTCGGCAACACAGTAACAACGTCATCACAGATATGTGATATCGAGATCAAATCACGCATTGAAAATTACTCCGCACGCATTAAATGTTTTGTGTTGCCGCACATTACATCTACGCTACCTACTGCTATGTATAGTCAACGCGCGCAGTCGTTTATGATACCTGACTATATACAGCTGGCTGATCCACAATATTATGAATCTCAAAATATTGATATTTTAATAGGCGCAGACTTATTTTGGGACTTATTATGCGAGGGTAAAATGAGATTACCCAATGGACCCTTTTTACAAAATACAAGGTTAGGTTGGATTATTTCAGGGCCTATTGAGTTTAACACGCACAATATCAATACGTCTGTCCAATGTAACTTCACTCAATCTATTGACACTCAGTTACGACGGTTTTGGGAGTTAGAAGAGGTGCCTAAAACTAGTGACATACAGACTGACGAAGAACGCTCTTGTGAGGAAGCTTTCATTCGTACTACCACGCGCAATAGTGACGGAAGGTTTTGCGTCAGCTTGCCACTGAAACAGTCGCCATCTGTTTTGGGTGAATCTTTGTCACAAGCTGAACGTCGTTTTTTGGCACTAGAGAGGCAATTAGAACGTAATTCTAACTATAAAAAAATATATTTTAAATTTATACACGAATACATCGAATTAGATCATATGACGCGAGTAACTTTATATGGAACCCCACACTTCTTTTTACCTCATCACGGCGTGTATCGTGAGCACAGCAGCACAACAAAACTTCGCGTGGTGTTCGATGCGAGTGCCGCCACAAGTAGTGGAGTGTCTTTAAATGACATTCAACAAGTCGGACCTCCCTTGCAGCGTGATTTAGTTGACATCCTGCTTCGTTTCAGACAACATAGATACACTGCTTGTGCAGACGTCGAAAAGATGTACAGGCAGTGTCTCTTAAACGAATTACAACGCGATCTCCAGTTGATTGTGTGGCGTGACAACCCATCTGAACCGTTAGGTATTTACCGACTGAATACGGTAACGTATGGGACAGCCTCCGCACCGTTTCTTAGTGTTAGGTGTCTAAAGCAGCTGGCACTCGAATGTAAGGACTCAGCCGTCCAACAAATAATTTTAAATGATTTTTATGTAGATGATATGATTACAGGTTCAGATGACAAGCAGGAGTTGCTTGTACTCTGTAAGAAGGTCACAGATGTCTTAAGTTCTGGAGGATTTCACTTAAGAAAATGGATATTTAATTTTAAATGTGATGAATTGTTGGTTCATCAAATTCCAAATAATAACGCATCACAGGAATTAACATTAGGAGAAAATGTTCAGTGCAAGACATTAGGTCTTGGATGGTACTATGCATCAGACGAGTTTTATTTTAATACTCAAGTTAAAGTTGATACGTACAAGATTAGTAAACGAACCATTTTATCGCACGTTTCTCAAATATTTGATCCATTGGGATTATTAAGTCCGACCATTATAATAGCCAAAGTTTTATTGCAAAAACTATGGTTATTACAACTAGGATGGGATGATGAGGTACCGCGAGACGTGTTGCGCGCATGGACCGTATTTGTAAAGGGCTTATCAATGCTTAATACCATCCGCATACCCCGTCATGTTATAGCTAACGAAGCGATATGTACAGAGCTACACATCTTTACCGATGCATCGCAGACTGCGTACGGCGCTTGCATCTACGTTCGAACAGTAACTAATAACGGACTTGTATCGGTAAAATTGTTATGTTCAAAGGGTAAGGTTGCACCTTTAAAACCTGTCAGTATCCCGCGACTAGAATTATGCGGAGCTTTACTTGGGGCTCGACTTTATGATAAAGTAATTAACTCACTTCGTCGTCATTTTGATAACATCATGTTTTGGACTGACTCGACCATAGTACTAGGATGGTTACACATGTCGCCTAATTTACAAAAACTTTTGTACAAAATAGAACGGCAGAAATACATGAGTTGGCGAAGGAACTTCCATGGCGTCATGTCAGTGGGAAGGAAAACCCAGCTGATCTGGTCTCGCGCGGTGTTCAGATGGAGGACCTTTCATCTTCTACTTTATGGTGGGAAGGCCCATCTTTTCTTCGTCACACTAACTTCAGTTGCAATAATGTACCGTTAAATTCATTTGACTCTCAGCAACTATTGCCTGAGCTGAAATCCAGTGTGACACATTCCTACGCTACTGATCAAGACTGCGAACGTACATTATTTCCATTTGTTAGATTTTCTCAATATAGTCGCATGAGACGAACTGTCGCGTATATACAACGTTTTATTCATAATACGCGCAATAAAAATACTCAACGGTCAGGTACTCTCACTGTCGATGAATTGAGGGAATCTGATATAACTTTGGCTCGACTGTCTCAACTAGAATCGTTTCCAGATGAGTATAGGTTACTCACAAATAATAGTACTCTAGTTAATAAACATAATTTGTCTAAATTAAATTTATTTATTGATAAAAATAAACTAATTCGTGTTGGTGGTCGGATTGTAAATTCTCCCGACTTTAATTTTGATAAAAAACATCCGATTTTAATTTCATCTAAACATATTTTCTCCCTACTACTATTCAGACACGAACACAAGCAGTTGTTGCACGCAGCTCCACAGGCGCTTCTTTATAACTTACGTGAAACGTGGTGGCCAATTGGCGGTAGAAACTTAGCAAGGAAGGTTGTTTATGATTGCATTATTTGTAAACGCTTGAGAGGTATGACCCCTACTCCCCTTATGGGAGATTTACCAAAGGAACGCTTAACTTCGGGCTTTCCTTTTATGCGTTCTGGGGTGGACTACGCCGGACCAATACTCATACTTAATCGTAAGGGTAAAGGTGCTAGGACGACAAAATGCTATGTGTGCTTATTTATTTGTTTTGTAACGCGCGCTGTACATTTAGAACTCGTCAGTGACTTGTCAACAGATGCATATTTATTAGCATTAAAGAGATTTATATCTAGGCGTGGCAAACCATGTGAGATTTTTTCTGATAATGGTAGAAATTTTGTTGGATTGATGAATGACTTTAAACATTTTTTAGCTAATTGTTCGTCACAGATTATAGAATATGCCACGGCTCAGAATATTCAATTCACATTCATACCGCCTTATGCGCCTCATTTTGGCGGATTATGGGAAGCTGGAATTCGGTCCTGTAAGAATATTTTACGTCGTATAGTAGGAAACGCGCACTTAACCTACGAGGAGTTCAGTACAGTGTTGACACAAATTGAAGCGGTCCTGAACTCCCGTCCTTTAAGCCCTATGTCCTCAGATCCACAAGATTTGTCGCCTCTTAGTCCAGGCCATTTTCTGGTGGGACGTCCACTTACTGCGCCTGCTAGTGATGACTTCACTGAGACGCCTGTTCATCGACTGACACGTTATCAACGAGTTGAGCAGATTCGACAGCAATTTTGGTCCCGTTGGGCGAAGGAATACGTGTCAGAACTTCAAATAAGGACTAAAGGAAGGAAGAACACACTTCAACTGCAGCCTGATATGCTAGTAGTTATTAAGGACGACAACCTACCGCCGCTAAAATGGCATCTCGGTCGAATAGTGAAGATCTTCCCTGGCAAAGACGGCATCACTAGAGTAGCCGATATTCGCACATCGTCAGGTGTCGTGAGACGCGCTTACAGCAAGATATGTCCCTTACTTGATGACTAATTCTAGTGTTGTAGTTTTAAAATTGAAAGCTGAAGCTTCCAAGGCCGGGGGCATGTTCAAGATTAGACATTATAGTTGTTTTAATAAAAGTTAAATTTTTCGCACTTGCAATATTAGAACCATAGATATAGACCGTTTAACCGCTAGAAGGTCAAACATTCAAATTTTGTTAACGGATAGAACTACACGCACTTTTGTATTTATTTTAATTTATTATAAAACTTGAGGCACGGACAAGCATTTCATTTCAACCAAGAGCTTCTCACCTTCAAGCGCAAACATATATATATATATATATATACATATATATATATATATATATATATATATATATATATATATATATATATATATATATATATATATATATATATATATATATATATATATATATATATATACACATACATATTAAAACACTTGATTTTTTTTTGCTTGTAATGGACAAACACAATGTTGGAAGCTATATTATCGGCAAGTGACATGGGCTGTATTTTCTATATATCGCGGATCGCTAGTTTTACTTGCCTAGCTATATCTTTATCCAACCGGGAAAAGTTATGAAGTTTGAGGACAAAATCAAATCAGTTGGACTTTTTGGCGAATTTATGTAGCCGTGTGGCCCCGGCATAGAACAGGCCACCCCTTCTTTTCCCGTGGGTGTCGTAAGAAGCGTCTAAGGTAGTTTAATAATCGAGGAATGGGCAGCAGCGTCGTCTTAAAACATCTCTAAAGCCTTACTGCGGTTTGCCCCTGCCAATCGTAGCAACTACAGGCAAATCCCCCCAATGCTCATTATTGTTATAATATATTTTGTCTTTCTTTCATTTTTTTATATTTTCTTTCCACTCTTATAAAATTTTCTAAATGACACTTAATACATTTTACCATACCGGCGTCAGTATGTAAGCAGGTACGTTACATCCATATTTATGCTAATGATAATGGTTTTCCAACCAGACAGCACAGGTGGCGGTGCTGTGGATTCTTCTCGTGGCAATCGTAGCAGGCAACGCCACTGTGGTCCTGGCACTACTCCTCACCAAATCAAGGAAAAGCAGAATGAACTTTTTCATCATGCAACTAGCTATATCAGGTAAAGTACAGATGTATCAGATAAAATAAAAATAAATGCAATTATAATAAGTGCCACACTGCCACACGAATTGCCTGGTCTAGAAGCTTCGATACCCTGTGTTATGTAGATTTAAAGGCCAAGCAACGTAGATTTAAAGGCAGACAAAAGTACTTTTCCTACGTTAGCCCAACTGACAATTGAACTCGATACCGGTTGTTAAGCAAAGCAATATGTCACAAAAATAGTCAAATTAAATATTTATTTTAAAATTGTAAACTTGTTGTCTTAAAATTGTTGTCTTAGATTTTTTGTATAGATAGGTAGATAGATAATTTATTTACATTACTTACAGCATACAAATTACAACAAAAACATACACATAATACACAGTAAAACAGATAAAAGAATGAAAAAAAAAGAAAAAAACAGAAAGCAATATATATGTATGTATATACACAACCATTTCCTTTCTTTCCTTTCGTTAATGCGTGTGCCATAGTAACATAATATATACATAGTATATCAATATACAAAAAAATTAAGACATACAATCACAATTAAAAAACAGTATATCTTATTACTGTTAGTAAGTAATAGCGCATTCATTTAGAATATACACTCATTTCTAACTAACGATTAATATTTTGTTATTGTACATACGAGTATATTATTAGTCGTGTGGTCCCTGCATAGAATGGACCACCCCTTCCTTTCCCGTGGGTGTAGTAAGAGACAACTAAGGGAGTTTGAAGATCGAAAGGTGAGCAGCGGCGTCTCTCTTTAAACGTCACCAAAGACTATCTGCGGTTGCCAATCTGCCTGCCAAGCATGGCAACTACTGGCAAAACTCCCCTTATAGGGAAGGCTTATGTTCAGCAGTGGGCAATTAATGGCTGATATGATTTTATTTACTTATACTTTTGCACACATTGAAAAATGTCTACAGGGCTGACTTAATGCCTGATGGCATTCTCTACCATATGTCATACAACACTTCAAATTATTATTTAAACAATGTTCACTTGTTTCAGACTTACTGGTGGGTTTAATAAGTGTACTACCTGACTTAGTTCAGCGTATAACCATCACCTGGCTTGCGGGGTCGCTAGCTTGCAAGATGATGAAATATTTACAGGTAATGAGAATGTAATCATAGTAAAACAGGAAAATAATAATACAAGCTGCTGATTACGTTCTGACGGTCGGCGATAGGTTTTTTAAAAAACTAATACTATTTAAGTTCATAATGTCGTTTAATATAATTTAATATAGTCTTTATTTAAAATTAGTAATTATATAATATTAATTATATCTATGAATCGTGATTGATTCCTAAAATATACACCGTACGTTCGCGACTTAAAACATACTGGCTTCTCATTGCCCTGTCGTATTCTTTTTAACAATTTTCTTTGTAAAGTATGTCTTCATTCTTTCTAGGAATTTGTGTGTAAGAACAGCTATAGTGCAATATGTATTGGTATGTTGTAGTATGGTTTGAAAGGGGTTTGCACCCGTAACATGCTTTTAAAGAGTTTTTTTTGGAATTTCAATATAAAATAGGAAACAGGTTCTTGTAAATAAAGTTGCTGCAAATAATTAGTTTTTATGTAAAATTAAACTTTCTAAAACATACTTTTAACAATCTTTGCGACCAGTTTAATTAGGACCAAAATTATGAAACCCCTTTACTAACTTTTGTCATAAAACTGAGTATTTATAAACTTTCATGTTTATTAGCAACTTTAGCTCGACTATAATGAATAAATAATTCTACATCAACATGTTTTAATCATATTATTATGTATTTATTTAAAAAAATGTTTTAGGTACGTATTTTAAATTTTAATATTAACTCTTTATAGCAAATTAACTTACATTAATCATAAAAAATTAACAATATGTTAATTTTTTCAATTTGTATCATTCTTTGAATGGAATAATAAAGAGTTTTCATTTATTCATTCGTTAAACAAGTTGCAAAGTTTTAGTAATATCTGCAACTAATTCATACTTTCTTTTAATATTTCTAAATAGTTTTTTAACTCCATAATCTAAAATTATAGTGACAGTTAAATTATTCGTATTATGATTTACATTTAAGTTCACTATAAAATCAGTTTTTAAACAATTTACAATGTTTCTTTTTTACAACTTAGAATGGCAAACAAGCTGACGGCCCACCTGATGGAAAGTGGTAACCGTCGCCTATAGACATGAGCAGTACCATGGACATAACAGAGTATAATGTTTCGCCCATGATACCCCCCATGTGTTACCATTCCTGAGGACTCGGGTGTTATTCCTTTGTACCCAGTAAATTCACGCCATATCCCACCCTTCAAACCGAAACACAGCCATGCAAACACAGCTGCTTCACGGTTGAAACACGAATGGGACAGAGGTACCCAAGCAATCGACTTTTGTACAAAGTCTCCCTTTGGTGAGGGATAATTTGATTGATATTAAAAATCCTTTTTTTTTTAATTTGGCCAAATTTCGGTACGAACTACTTCTATCTTAAGAGTAGGTACTTGTAGGTCGTGCGCAGACTATAGACGTTCCTCCGCAGAGAGCATTGAGCAATAATTACTTCTTGCCATTGCATTCACTGGAGATTTGTTACAGACTCGAATACGTTATGCAAAGCACGTGTATAGTACGTTCTGTATGTTCTATTTTCTTTGTGAGAAAAAACGCTAAAGAATGTCTCTCGCCTGCGCAGGCCCTTACCATGGCTCTTTTACATACATCAACTATTTTTTTATTTGTTACAGGGTGTAGTTACATATTCATCTACTTACGTATTGGTAGCGCTCAGTATAGACCGATGTGACGCCATCACACATCCAATGAATTTTACGGGAAGTTGTAAGTATTTTCACATAATCACATTATATTTTTATGATACACAGAATAATAAATCTGATAAAAAGTGACAACCGTCGCCTATAAACATGAAAGGCACCACGGACATTATAAAATACACTGTGATGCCCGTTCATATGCGTTGATATTCCTAAGGACAACGTTATGGCAGTGAAATTTGTTATAGTCAATGTATATTGTATATTGTATATAATCTACATTCAAAATTGAATATTGGATTAAGAAAACGTATCTATGGTTTTTAGTCTATGCTCAGAATAGTTAATTTTAAACTATCGTATCACTTACACATATATAAATACACTATCAAGACTTAGCGCGATGAAAAATATGCTTAGAATATTCTGGAGAATTTTGTTCTTGGAAGATCTGCTCTTTTTGATCTTCCATTGTGCTATGTAATGTTTGAATGTATGACTATTGATAAAATCTGTTATTATGAATGCTATTTAGTTACCAATTCTGTACCAAATACCATCAAGATTAAGGGTACAAAGTCTTGTAATTTTATTGCCAAATTTCATCCTTCTAACCAAAACACAGCTTTGCAAGCATATCTTTACTTTACAAACGACTTCTGTACAAATTCTGCCTCTGGTGAATGTAATAATTTAACATAGAGTCAAAAGAAACACTCTTAATTTCATCCCGTACTCATCCCCCACATCTTTATACTTTCCGTGACCTTCTAGAAATACTTTTCAAAATAAATTCTCCAGATTTATTTTACTGTCGAACTTTATGAGTTGGAAATACTTGTAAATGCCTCCATAAATACAGTGGCGTAACATTTGTGGGTGAGAATAAAATTATTTATATAGATATTCTTTTTTTACAGGGCGGCGGGCGCGCGCTCTCATTTTAGTCGCCTGGTTTATTAGTTTTTTATTCTGTATTCCCATGTTATTTCTATTCGATGAAGCAGACGTAGGTGAGTACTTATTATATCAAAGATATTATTTCAATATATGCTTATATTAAATATAGAACTAATCGTGTAATGTTTATTAAATTGCGTACAAATTTTCTGGGAAAATATTTCTTATTTTAAATATTGTGTGCACTCAATGAATGAATGAATGAAATTATGAATTAAGTTTAATATTATTTCAAACGTATATTTTTAAGATAATTTAAGAATGAATTTTCTACAAAGACATTGACTACAATTATGGCAAAACGAGATACTTTGATTTCAAAAACTAAACTACTGAATTTGATAAAATTTCTGTGAGATTCCATAGAAATTTTCTATAAGTGCATTCTTTTGGATAAAAAATTAATTTACCAGATCGATTTATAACTAACGGAATTAAAAAGTAACAAAACAAAAAAAAAATATATTATATTCTTTATTGCACTTAAACAATATATACGAATTAAAAACCTAAGCTCTAGCCAACCCAGTTTTGAAGAAAATTGACTAAAAATTCAATACACAACTAATATATAAATGATCGGTATATAAATATATTATAATAAATTGTAATAATTTATCTTCACTCCAAGACTTTCAATATAAATATATCTGGGGGTTTTCAAAAAGGTTATATTAAGGTTTCTTCAGTGTCGGCAACGTGCACGTGACATCCCTAGTGTTGCAAGCACACACAGACTACAATGACCGTTTACCATCAGACTGGCTGTATGCTTAATTGCTACCTTTCTTTGGTACAAAAAAAATATCTTTACAGAGTAAGCAGATAAAACCCAATGTCAAACGTCTTTGTTCTTACATACATCTCTCTTAATCTGCTTAGATAAATGTTGAATTTAAAATTATATATTTCACATGTTATTAAACAGGTATTATCCAATGCTGGTCCAGTATAAGTAAGCTACAATGGCGGATATGGATGACAAGCGTGTTCGTCTCGCTGTTCGTGGTGCCGGCTGTAACCATCGCCGCGTGCTACGGTGTGATTGTGATCACTATACGACAGAAGAGTCAGAGGGTGTTGGGAAGGCGAGCTACTGCTACCAGACAATGTGAGTTCCTTATCTCCAATGAGAGATCCCTCAACACACCTTCATAAAGGAGGCTTCAAATATGACTGTTTTCTTTTACAAAGAGTGAAATCAAAATCGTCAATATATTTATAAGCAAAGGCTTTACGAGCAAAACTGTCAATTTTCATAAAAAAGAAACATGTATCGAAAAACGACAAAGACTGTTGAACCTACCATAATAATACAGCGCATCCAGCTTTTGAGTCAGAGTCAGAGATTTGAAATTTGTGATTTTAAATTTTTGATTTACGTAATTTCTATCTAAATATGTTCTAGGTCCTATATTATAGCACGGGTATTAGGTACCCTAGCTTTTTGCCCGCTAATTCCTACCCATGGTTAGAAGTAGGAAAACCAATTAAATATACCACTTTTAGATAGCGTAGAATGGCGAGATAAAACATATGCCTTATGGTGAAGACCTATATTCAACTGTAGACACCTCAGTCCTCAGGAATGGCAACGCATGGGGGGTATCATGGGTGAAACAGTATACTCTGTTATATCCATGGTACTGCTCATGTGTGTAGGCGACGGTTACCATTTCCCATCAGGTGGGTCGTCAGCTTGTTTGCCATTTTAAGTTATATAAAAAAAAAAAACATTTAACGGTTTATATGAATTCTAGTAAAATATAAATTATACATGCATGTAGCTACGATAGAAGATTGATCGATACTGTCACAGGTGAAACTAATAAAATTCTTGTGTTATATTCTAAAAAAAAAAAATATGTGTAGCTACAACAAGAGATTGATTAACTCTTTCGCAAGAAAGCCTAATAATATTCTCCTATTCTATTCTAGTACAAAAACAAATTATATAAAAGATTGATTGATTATATCACAAAGGCGCCTAATAATATATTTACGACGAAGACGCTATTTTAAATTCTGCAAAAAGTAAATTATTTTAGGGTAGAATTCGAAACCCAGTAAGTTAGCGAATTTTAAGAAAAGCTTAATATTTTTTCATTGTATCTTGTATTGACGTATATTTGTCAGAGCAGATTTTATTCGCAGTTACTTACATAAGATTTTACGAAAATAGTCTATTTCGAAACGTTTCTATTTATTTAAGTACTTTGCGATTTTGACCTTATCCTTCCTACCTTTCAACCTTATCTTTTCTCTTAGTATTACCTCCGTCAACTTAGCTTAGTTTCAAATTTGTCTACACTCATATCTAAGGGAAAGTGCTCATGTAGTCTATCTGATCTTGATTTTGTCTAGATCTCTCCTATTTCTAGATATTTTTTTGCACAACTGTAAATGGTATACAATCTCACCAAATATCTGATAGTGTGTTAACCTATAGATACTATCTTTTATCTCTGGTTTTATAGCTGTCTGGTTTTTTTGTCTTTCATCCAACAAATCGTTTCCCTGCCCAATTTAGGTAGATTATTCTTGTTACTTCTATATCCCGGTATAGAATTGGCCATCTCTTTCTTTCCCGTGGGTATCTTAAGAAGCGACTAGGGGAACTTATAATCTCTCTTAAAACATCATCAAAGCCTAATTTTGGTTGCCAACCCGCCTACTAAGCGTGGCAACTATTGATAAAACTCCCCTTTTGGAGAAGGTTTATGTTCAGCAGTGGACAGTTAACGGCTGAAATGGTGATGATGATACTTTTTTCGATCGATTTCATTACTGGATCATGTTGTCATATTGTCCCTGTTTTTACTCAGAATAGTATGAGCACATAATGTGCTATTCTTAGTACTTCCTTCATAGCAACACCCCCCAAGGGGGAGGTTTATGTTCAGCAGTGAGCTTATGTTTTGTTTTATACAACTTAGAATGGCAAACAGGCTGACGGCCCACCTAATGGAAAGTGGTAAACGTTGCCTATAGACATGAGCAGTACCATGGACATAACAGAGTATACTGTTTCGCTCATGATACCCCCCATGCGTTGCCATTCCTGAGGACTCAGGTGTTATTCCTCTGTACCCAGTAAATTAACGCCCAGCTGCTTCACGGTTGAAACACGAATGGGACAGAGGTACCCAAGCAATCGACTTTTGAACAAAGTCTCCCTCAGGAGCGTTCACAGTTAAAGGCTGATATGATTATATGATGATGTTGTGCTATTATAAACAATAATTTTCTTTCTTATATGAAGATATTTATGCAGAAAACCTTCACATATTTGATGTGCTTTTTGACATAACCATAAACAAATAGTCAATAAATACTCTTTATTGTTGTTGTATTGTAAAATCTTTATTGTACGTAACTCAGATTAAACACTGGTAAATGATTTAATATACAATTGCGGACTTGTTCCATAAAGGGATCTCTTACAGTCAACCTTTGAGAAGCTAAAAGAAAACTGTAGAATGTATAAGGGTAATAATCGTACAATTAATGATAAACTAAATAATATCCAGTAAAAAAATTAAATATATAATACAATAAAAACAGCTCTATATACCTACATATGTAAATAATAAAAGTAAATGAATAATAATATAACATTAATAAATAAATAAATAAAACTTACACACATAAATACACACACTCTTTATTAATAACTCACAAAAAGATACAAGTAAACAAGAATCTCAATGGGCGGCCGTATCGCTAAAACGATCTCTACAAGCCAAGTTCTGTAGATTGTAGAGATAATAAATTAAGTAAACTAATTCTCAATAACCGAACAAGAAATCCGTCAACGATCCACTGTGAATAAAAACGGAAAATGTAAGATATTCAACTAAATTAGGCGGTTCGTGACCCGCCTGCCGATGAGTCGGGTCGGGTGAAATATGGTAACAGGAACTACTGAGATCGAGCCTGATTTTATGCGCCCGAACCACCATTTAGATTTGGGGTTGTTTTATTAAAATACCATATTTTATATTATGGCGTGTAAATGTTTTTATTCATTTATCGATGGTCTATTTATTACAGAGATTCTTTTTAACCAAATAAAAAAAGTCTTTCTTTTTATTTTTTTCATTCTCCTGTCGACATTTAAATTTTTCTAGTGAAACTTAATTGATTTGATAAATCGAATTATATACCGGGTCCAATAAATTAATAACCTTCTAAGATAAAATTCTACTAGTAATTTTGAATACTTCTCCCAAAGAAACAAGAATCGGAAAAGGACAAAAAATTAAATTCTCTCTCACCTACATACATTTGATGACGTTTTAGAAACTTCTTTGGAAGAACTATTTAATTTCATTCAATAAAAATACACTCAAAAATCCTTTTGTCCAAATTGAAGTCATTGATATCCACTAAAGATAAGGTTGTAAAAATATTTTAATCTTAAACAGGGGAGAAATTTGATAAAAAAAAAGTGGACTTCCACTTGTCGAATGCAACTCCGAATACACATGAATATAACATTATTTTTTTTTATAATTAATGGATATAGTAAAATATCTTTTTAAAACATCTAGCTATTACAAATTTGTTGATTACTACTTAGATATAACAAACAAGCTGGTGGCTCTTCTAATTGATAGTGACTCCTCTGCATAGAAAGGAAAAGAATAAGCATAATTTTTATTCAAGAAACTTATTTATAAGCATTGTTTTTGATTCTACCAATTCGAAATACTATTTTAGCTGTAAAGAACGGACATACAAATCAATTGTTGTAATTTTCAATAAAAGTTAAATGTTTCAATTAAATTTGTAATAAACACTGCTGTATATAGGTCTCCCCAATAGACTGCCATTAGGAATGGTCCTGAGCCACCTGCATTCACTGACTCCTTATTAATGTGTGTAAATTTGTGATAATACTGACTAACAAATGCCAAAAGAGTTATTTGAATTATTAGTTCAATTAAGTTTATTATTGTAAAATATTATATTGAATTACTAGCTTTTACTCGCGACTTGAATCGCATGAGGAGGAAATGTTTATTAACCGAGACAATAAATAGCTTACATCCTTCTCCATTCCATATTATATTCATATACAAATTTTTATAGTAATTGGTAAAGCTAGTAAAGAGGTAACAAACAAACACTTTCACATTTATTATATTACTAATAATATCTCAAACAAGGGCGTTTTATGTACATAGGAGCAACGTTGAATATAACTTTAAGATGCTGTTTTAATTATTAAACAAAACTTGAAACAAACTCATCTATTCTCGTATCACTTGAGAGTTTGTGGTCGACTGAGGTGAAGCATTGATTTCCGAGTGTAGAGTAAGTTAGTGACTAGAGACTACGCTGTGACATTTTAGCGGAATAATAATTAAAAATTACGTCCCACAAAAAATACTTCATTTGTGAAAAAAAAAAACAGTTATTATGGTCTAAAAATATAAACTACTAGACCGATTTTGATGAAATTTCTAGTTTCTGGAACTAATTTGTTAGCATATCCTTTCAGATAAAAAACTAATCAATATCCTTTCTGATAAAAAAAAAATAATTTTCCAAATCGGTTTAAAACAGACTGAGTTCTAAAATAAAAAAAAAAACACAACCGAATTAAGAATTGAGATTTTTTTGTCAATATATGTAGCGTATAAAGTGTATTTTCAACCGACCTCAAAAAAAGAAGTCTTACTGGATAACTTACAGATATAAGATACAAGAATTTGAGATCAGTTATCTATTACGTCTATAGTACAAGCTCCGTTTAATTTGAGACTAGATGACTCTATGTGAAATATTCAATAGTATTTTTTATGATAATAAGTATGTATCATCAAGTGAATATTTTGAAACAGTATACTATGTTATGTCCATGGTACTGCTCATGTGTATAGGCGACGATTACCATTTTCCATCAGGTGAGCCATCAGCTTGTTTGCCATTCTAAGTTGTATAAAAAAAACACCTGATGGAAAGCGGTAACCATCATCGCTAGTAATACACGTTATCGAGTCGACCTCCACGCAGTTCCTCCTGAAAACCATATCGGTTAATCTGTCTGTCACTGTGGGCTAACTAACCTGTCTCATTCTCATTTATCATCACTCACTGGTGCCCCGCCAGTGTATACTGGCAGCGCAGGCGGGGTTACCATTCCATTATCACCCAATAAAAAAACCATTACACGACGTTACCCTTTGGTAATATTATTATCATACAAGTATATTTAAACGACATACGCAATAAAGGATTAAATTAATAGTAATACTCAATCAACTCAATTAATCAATTAAAGATGACAACCATTCTAACAACAATGATCTGTCATAAACATCCATGGTGTTTTCACATTCAATCAATATTAGATTATTTTATAGAGGCTCTCATAGGGACGCTAAAGGGGTTAACCGCTCATAAAATGGAATCCCATAACCCTGTTATTATGTAAAGTTATTGTAATATAAGCCTGTGAGTATAAATATGAAATTGGGTCAGTAGTTTTAAATCAAGCTTCCTTTTTCAACCATCTGCATTGAAAAGAGGTGATTCTCAATTTCGTTGTATCTTTTTTTTATATATTTGTTACTTCATAACGCTATAGATTTTGAGACGATTTGAAAAATTCTTTTTTTATCTAAAAAAATATACTTTTCTATTAACTCCATAGAAATGTTTTCAAAATCGGTTCACTACTTTAGCTTTTAAACTAAAATTATTGATTTTGCTACAAATAAAAGTCTATTTTTGGTGAAACACAAACAATCGATTAAACTAATAATCAAACAACTTAGCAACAAGCAAGTATATGCGCCGTGTGTTTCCCGGCATAGAATGGGTCACCTCTTCCTATCCCGTGGATGTCGTAAGAGGTGAATAAGAGAGGACGAAGGATGGGCAGCAGCGTCTCTCTTAAAACGTCATCAAAGCCTAATTGTAAAACCTACTAATAGAGAGAGGGAGGCCTATGTCCAGCAGTGGATAGGTAATAGCCAATATAATGATGACACAATGTGATAAGAATGTTCTAATTCCAAAATATACTTATAAAGGTATACGGAATATAAATTTAAGCAGCATGATCAAACAGTTCAACGTATAGGTTATATAACAAGCTGGAAAAAAAATTTAAAGGAAAAAAAATATGTTGGGATCTTACTAGTACACCAAGTTAGTTCAATATTAGGGATATTCTCGAAAACTTTCTTCCTTATAAAAAGCAATTTCAGAGCAAATGGGAGAAAAATCCATTAAGTTTCTACTTGCCTAACTCCGAAGGGTCACAGTAAGGTCTGGCGCACTGTATCAAAATTCAACTCGCATCAGGTGACATCATTTTGTATAGGAGAAACAATGTATTATAGACACTGAAAAGGCAAAATTTATTAAACGCAGTTAAATAAATTTTAAAAGAGAGCATAATAACGAAATGGCAAAGTGTGTGACGTATGTAGTAATCGTCTAATACGGTCATAAATCCACATCGATGAAGTAAAAAACGCTTGTACGATATTATTATATGTATACGTATTAATAAGTAGACAAATTAGATTATATAGATAGGTTCGATACCTCAAAATCTGGTCAACTTTTTGTCAACTAATTTGACAATTAGTAATTTTTTATCAGTGTTCTATATACTTACGCATAAAATGTACCTTGACGTATTATTTAATAAATAAAATGAGTATTTACGCATTGAAACGAAGCAAAAGTTATAAGACAAAATAAATATTGAAGTTATAAAGGAATCACTCATAACTATTTATCACGCAAAATTGTATGAAAGACACCTATATAATGTAAGATATATACGTATTAATATGTAGACACTTACCCACTTATTAAAAAAAATATCAAACTTCTCATAAGCCTGTTTTAGCTATTGAAGTATTTTGCCTATTTATCTTGCGCTAAATTCTTAATTTGAAAGAAAGGAACACAACACTTTGATATCTAAAATTGGTTTGTAGAAGGTTTTATGAACAAGAAGTTAATACGTGCGTAATGCGATCCTTTTGCCTTATAGTTTGTGTATTGTGGTTTGTGGTTTGGGTTCCTCAAAAGTATGAGTTCAAACAAGATAGTTCCATTATAGACATTTCACAAATGTACTTTATATGTTTGTCTATTTTGTTGAATTTCTTGTTTCGAAAATCCAGTCGCACGAAGTAATGTATCAACAGCTAATAAAATATACAATTATACTAGAGTCGAGAAAATAATTTTTTTGTTATATATTTCCCATATGTCCTAAGTTCTTGATAGCGGTATTTTTACACTAATTTCTATGTTGTACGTACATAGATCTGTATCAATACTGTATCATCATCATCTTCCTTCCCTTATCTCAATTATTATTTGAGGGCCGCATAATATGTTTTCTTTTTGTCCTAATTATGAATAACTGTTAAAAATTAATTAATAATGAGTATTTCTTTTCAGATAGTGACGATTTGGACAGTCGCCGGGCGAGCAGCCGCGGTATTATACCGAAGGCTAAGATAAAAACCGTTAAGATGACTTTTGTTATTGTTTTTGGTAAGTGATCTTTATTTAGATACTAGTTTTTATCCGCGACTTCGTCTGCATGATTTGATCCAGATTGGGATATTAAGGTACCAAGAAGTAACAAAAAAACAAACTCACTTTCACATTTATAACATTAATAAGGATACTATGACAATCTAAACCTCTGTAATGTAATGGCGTAATGTTTTTCATGCAACATGAAATAGCAATACAGCTAACGACTCACCTGATGGAAAGCGGCAATAATTGCCAGTCATGATTACTACGGACATTATAAAACACGCACTTACGCCCATGCACATATACACATACGCGTACACAAACACACACGCGTGCGCCAGTGCACATGCCTACACACGCACCACGAACCCACGCGCATCACGCACCCACGCGCACCACACACCCACGCATACACGCATATGCACATACATGCACATACACATACACGCACACACATATACCCACGATACCTTTCATGCGTATGATAAAAGTAGTTGTTGGTCGAGGAAAGAAGTCTAATAGCACTATCGCTCATAATATATATCAGGCCGATTTTCACATAGACCACCTAGTGACCATCGTCTAAATCGTGGACTAGTACAATTTCCTTTATTAATAATCCCCTCATCCCAACTTAGAGGACTGTTTGTGACGCTTCTGTGTTCTGTGATTATTTAAGGAACAATGCCTTTTACTCGTTAGTAATATACCCCGTTGGAGGGAAAGGGATTGTTAGTAATGGGATCTAACAGTTCCATTGCTAGCAATATACCCAGTTGACCTCCACTTGATTCCCCCTGGAAACCATCGTGGTTAATTCTTACGGAATTCTTCACGACGGGCTCACTGACCTGCTTTCACCCTCATCTATTATCTGTCACTATATCGATAGCGCAGGCGGGGTTACCATTCCATCTTTACTCATAAAAAAAATATACCCTGTTAGAGGGCCCCCTTATAATCCCCTTATGAGGAAGGCTTACATTCAGCACTGGACGGCTGATATCATGATGACCCTTCACTGATGTCCTGCCAGCGTTAGCGTAGGCGGAGTTATCATTCCATTATCATCTATTAAAAAGTACCTTATAATATCTAACATAAGTTTTAGCTTTTTCTTATTTAGGTTTAGTAAACATTTTATAAGTAAATTAATATCATTCTACATGTCAAGTATTAACAACACACATGACAGTGCAAACATACCTAAATACTGTCAGTAAACACCCACTAAAAGACTGACAGCTGACATGCATGTCAATAGAATTATGGAAAAAATGTATTCGACGCAAGTAAAAGCAATATCATTAAATATGATTAATGTAAGTACATGATTACGTTTTTATAGGATTCTTTATGTATATGCATCATAAAGTAAATGATTTGACAATGGCGTTGATTCTGGAATACAATTCACTAAAACCTTTATGATATATTGATTATTTTCTAGAGTAACACAAACTAATGTTATAATAATATTAACTTAATTCTATTAGAAATACAATTCACATTGGTCCATAATATTAAGACTTCGATATGACATTAAATTGAAATACTGATTTTAGAGATATGTTTAGAAAATGACGCCATAGAATCGAATTATCTCATAATTTTTTTACAGCTAAAATCAAGTTTTTTTTTTTCTAATGACATATTCCATGCTTCTCACGTTGATATGATAATATAACGGGCGAAGTGTCCCGCGTCAGGAATAACAATTTTTCGTGATTTTTTTTAATAATTGACATTACACTTATCCTTCGATGTGAGAGTACACTATAATCACGAGCACTAAAATATGCCTTTGATACATACTATTATAACCGACATGCCCATCAATAATTATTTTTTATCATCATAGTTGTTTGTTAATTTTGTGAATTTGCTTACTTTGAGTCAACATTTATTATATGCGTATGTGTGTATAAGTGCGTGCGTGTGTGCGTGCCTGCATGTGAGCGTGCATACATGCGAACGTGCTTAGATCAAGCGTGCGTGCGCACGTATTAGCGTATTTGTGATTGTGGAAGTATTTTTTTTAATCTTTTTTATTTAGAGACTTTTATCCTATAAGGATATGTTAGCCTCATCATACCCTAATTTTAAAAAATACCTCACTTACTTAAAACATTAATACATAATATCTTAGTTGTCTACTTTAATAAAGGGAATTGATACACAAATATAGTAATAAAAGATTTTGCTATTCCGGAATGTGGATCTGCAAATATATTTGAAAATATACCAATCTCAGACTATATTTCTGCATCAATACTTTCCTTTGTGTTTTATATTTCGTACAATCGGATATCATATGCTGAACATCATCCAATGTGTTACAAATATCACAATTCTGATTATTAACTTTTTTCATAAGAAACGCGAATATTGCATTTGGGTAATGTCCTGAGCGTAATCTAAGAGTTATTACAACGAAATTTCTATTTGCTTTGATTGTGGAAGTATAATATTGTTAAAAAATTGTATAATCAAATTAGAGTGAATTGCTTTGGGTAAACGTTTATTATATGCATATGTGTGTACACGTGTATGAGTGTGTACGTGCGGGCACGCAGGCGAGCGTGTGTGCGTGTGTGTATGCGTGCGTACGAGCGTGCATGCGTGCGAGCATGCTTAAATCAAGCGTGCGAATGCACTTGCAAGCATGCTTGTGATTGTGAAAGTATAAATACCTAAACTACATTAAAATCTGTGATATAGGCTAAGATCTAAATAATACTATAACAATAAAAAACAAAGAGGTCAACTATGCTTAAAAGCAGTTAGAATTACTAACGTCATAAGACCAAATTCGTTATACAATAAAATGGGTTTACGATCACATCTATCATGTGTAACTGAACGATACTGTTGTTATTATTGCTTTCTCACTTTTCACATAAAAATCACCATTAACGATCGAAGAAGTACGTACTTGATGGTGTCACAACACTTATAACTACCATAATCTTTTATCAACGCACAAGTTTCCTGCGTAAATAAACGTTAGCGTCTTGTATTTATTTATGTTTTTTTTTTCTAACCTTACATCACCTTTTCAATCGTAAGGAATGCTTCCAAATTATAGAATACGATGTCAAGTTTCGTTTCGTCATTCTTCTCTCTAAGGGATAATAATACCATACCACATCAGCCGTTAACTGTCCACTGCTGAATATAGGCCTCCCCCATAAAGGGGTTTTTGCCAGTAGTTGCCACGCTTGGCAAGTAGGTTAGCAATCGTAGTTGAGCGTTGTATAACGTCTTCTGATTTTACATAAGCTATCCCTGGAGACTAATATCCATACTTGCTGACGAGTCGCAATTACACATCAACAGTAGGTAACACAGACTCAAATTCCACGTGGTATGGACATAGTATAAAGTATACAATGCCCTTGTAAACAAATTCACCTTTTGTAGTATATACTAATATTGACACTTATCTATTATATATATATATATATATATATATATATATATATATATATATATATATATATATATATATATATATATATATATATATATATATATAATATATATATTAAATTAACCGATTACATTGATTGTAAAAAGATTCTCAAATTAAGAGACTTAATCGCGTAACATAGCTATAAAAAATAAAAGAATTCCAAAACCCTGCTGCTTTTAAATTTCATTTGAAAAGACGGCCAATACAATGAACAGATTTCTATCAATTTTCATGAAAATATTTGTTAAAATACCCTTCACGTGTATAAAAAAGCCATAAAATACAACGTAGGTCAAACATTGAGATTTCGACCAACTATTAAACTATTTTTTTTTGTACATTATTACATCCCAAAAATCAAAATTAATTAGAAACCTGTAAACATTTAGTCGCTAGTGTTGCTTAATTAAATCATTGGGTACCGATTTATATCGATTAGTAGTGTGATTGAGACCAAATAATAAATAATTTATATAATTAATAATTTTTTGGTATTACAAAATTTTTATTTGTGTTTTAAATATGATTCCCCTTCCTAGCATTGAAAAATAACGACTGATATGATTGTAATAATAATTTTAAACTTACTGTCTGTTGATAATTATCATGTTGGGCCTTTCATACCAACACGGCACGTAGTTTGCCGTTTTTGAGGAGGTAATTCACGGAAATTTTGGTTTTAATAAAACAAACAACTAACAAATTTGATTTAACCCTGTATAGTCGATTAATTATAAACATTCATATTAATACTATCAATAAAATCGATATTTTTTTTATATCACTGGTAAAACAAGCATATGGCGATGGTATGGTTACGTTACGTTTAAATCAATAGATACAGTCTATAGGTGAATCGATATTATTCTGATAGACGAATATTATTTTTCTCAAACATGCTTGGAAATAAATGAGCATTATTTTAACAATCTTCTTAGAGATAAATCAAAATTGCCGTACTGGCCAGATACATGCGGGCAGCGACCGGCAAAAGTTGTATGAAAATCCATATCTGTCGTGTTTTGCGGCCAGATAAATTACTATGTAAACTCATATAGATCTGTCTTGTAATTTAAAAATGCAGTGACCTTTTACTTCGAAACATGGCTACCAAGGAGGTAACTAGTAAAAGGCTTTATATAAATTTCGAACTGGCTTGCAAATAGAAAGCTGTTTATTGAAAAAAAAAACAAAGGAACATTACGGCACGTGAAAAAATATTATTGTTCGTTATTCGTCACTGAACTTAAAAAGTAAAATTGTGTTTTTGATTTCCGCGCATTGTTTGAGAAAAGTACTATACAAGCCTTGGCCACAACTAGGCATTGATGGACTCACGTATTTGTGCCTCGGCTACGCCTCGGCCCACATTTGCACGTTCGTCCATCAATGCCTCAGTTGCTGGCCGCTGCAGTAACGTACTATTGTCTACCGGAGAAATTTCAAATTCTACAGACAACATTAGTAATCAAGAAGTTTTTATCTCGCCATAGAAAATTCGATTTGCCTCCATCTTTCTTCGTTGAAAACGATTTAGCATGTTTATTAGGGATTACCATTTTTATCAAGATTTTGTTATCGGTTTCTGGCGTGGTCCAATTTTTGGCGGGAACGCGATTAGGCCTCTGAATGCCGGGAGATTGGATCGCTCCGTAATACCCGAAATACTTTTATGTTTAACCAGCTGCCGAATGTTATAAGTTATTACCGCTTCCCTAAATCTTATCTATAAATACATATTTGTAAATTAACTTTATAATATTAATATGCAGAAGATTCTTAATGTATAAATAAATATCTTTGTATATGTATTATAAATAATATGTACTTATTTATAGAAATATTTTTTCTGCAAACCTTTTATACTTATTTATAAACCGAATATATATTTAATCAAATACCAATTAATTAATTAAGGATATTTTCTAGCAATGTACTGATTCAAACTTTCACATATGTAATATTAATAATGGAATAAAATATTTTTATTGTTAAAACAAATTATACCTACTTAAAAAAGTTGAATTGAGGATAAGTAGCAATCCTTCATGAACAAAACTAAAGCAAAACAAATAATTTTGGTTTGAAGTGTTAGGAAAATAAATAGATATTTATACTAGTATGCCCCAAAACAGTATAACCCACACACACATAGACACTATAGTATAGATTCAATTACACATAAGTACTCAAGTAAGTATACCAGAGGGAGACTGTACAAAAATCGATTGCTTGGATACCTCTGTCCCATTCGTGTTTCAACCGTGAAGCAGTTGTTTTGCATGGCTGTGTTTCGGTTTGAAGGGTGGGATATAGCGTAAATTTACTGGGTACAGAGGAATAACAACACCTAAGTCCTCAGGAATGGCAACGCATGGGAGGTGTCATGGGCGAAACAGTATACTCTGTTATGTCCATGGTACCGCTCATGTCTATAGGCGACGGTTACCACTTTCCATCAGGTGGGCCGTCAACTTGTTAGCCATTCTAAGTTGTATAAAAAAAAATTCTAAATCAAGTATCTATAAGTAATTTATCAAAGATGTCCTACGCAAAGTACATAGATACACTAAACTAATACAAACTTCTTCCACACTTATTTGCCCTTCAAATATCAGTACGAGATCGTTAATAATACTGAAACAGCTACTTGATTAAGTTACTATGAGAAAAATAGCTCAATATTAGAGCAAAACGTATCCTGAGACAACTCGAATTACACCTTCCACCTACACTTATAAACTAACTATAGACTTATAGGTTCAAGAAAGTATATTTAGTTAAAATAAAAAAAATAATAATATTATATTAAATGAAATGGAATGGCAAGGAAACAATTAATAATGCAAATAATGTCATAATACTAAAAGACATATATAAATAATAGAAAGATAAAAAAACATTTCAGCAGGTACTAAATACCAGTCATCACAACACTCCCAAAATCATTATCATTGATGAGACGAAAATAAAATTCATCATGAAACACACATGCCATTAAACGACGAGATACATCACGTTGAATCTTGAATGGAGAATCGAGATTTTGCTTTAAAACAGTCTTTTGCTCCGCAAAGAAAAACAACAGCTTCAGTTAAACTAAGTACCTAAGGTTGTATGTTCCTGTATCCTGCAATATTACTGCCATACCCCACGCTACAAACCGAAACACAGCCACACAGACTAAAATAAAATTTTCAATCATAAAACATGCATACCAATACACTACGAGATACTTCACATTGAATCTTGAATGGAGAATCGAGATTTTGCTTTAAAACAGTCTTTTGCTCCACTAAGAAAAATAACAGCTTCAATTAAACTAAGGTTTTATGCTTCTGTATCCTGCAATCTCACTGCCATATCCCATACTACAAACCGAAACACAACCCTGCAAACACGACTGCTAATTGACAGAAATTAATATTGAATTTCTTTTCAGTATTCGTGCTCTGCTGGTCACCATACATGATATTCGACCTGCTACAAGTCTACGACTACATTCCTGATACGCAAGCCAATGTGGCCATAGCATCGCTCATACAGAGCCTGGCGCCTCTCAACTCCGCCGCCAACCCTGTCATCTACTTCATATTCTCCAATAGAATATTCGTTAGCCTCAGGTAAATGATATTTTTATTGTATTAAACCGTCATCTAGTAAACCACGCCAGAGTACTTCGTGTGCAACAAAACCGTCTTAGAAATTTTAAACACCAGAGGGCACTACTCTTTCGTTACTAAAGGTTGTTATTATCTTAACAATATCTATATTTTTTTTATACAACTTAGAATGGCAAACAAGCTGACGGTCTACCTGATGGAAAGTGGTAACCGTCGCCTATAGACATGAGCAGTACCATGGACATAACAGAGTATACTGCTTCGCCCATGATACCCCCCATGCGTTGCCATTCCTGAGGACTCAGATAATAAATATGTAATATGTTCAGTGATATTTATTTTTAGAAATTCATAACAAACAGTTTTTACAAGCACTTATGAATGAATAATTTTAGTTCAAAAATCTTTAAGTAAGTGTTTGGTTACTGACGTAATAAATGTATTTATTTATTTAACAACAATATCACTTCCGCGGTCCATGTTTTAATTAATCTGTGATTACACAGCTTGAGGGGTGACGCACTTGTGTCGTAGTTTCGAATTAATTATTTGTTACTCTTATATAAAGCTGAGGTTTGGATTAATTAAAAAAGCGATTTAACTGCCGTATAAGTGTATACACATTTTTTTTTTGTATTATAGCTATGATATAAATTCCTGTCCTATTCCGAGATGTTAAATTTGCTCATTTACGCCGTAATAATAATAAGGTAATAAGAAAATAATAAAAAAATTAGCGATTATATGTAATAAAGATTAAGATAAAAAGAAACCACTGTACCTTTAAAAAAGCTTCGGGGAAATTTTAACTTGAAGACTAAATTACAGAGATTTAAAAAAAATTGTTATGTGTAATAAAGATAAATATTTTGGAAACCTGACAGGCATTTCTTCGGTATCTAAAAGAGTTACCTGCAGAAAATGATGGATAATTAGTTAAATTCTTAATTTGTACAAACTTATATTTAATTTGTTTAACAATTAATTTAATTATTAATTCATAATTAACTAGCAATTAATGTGTTAAACAAATAGCAATAATAGCAGCATTTCAAGTTACAAATTTTGTTTGAAAGGACTATCGAACACTTTACCATTAATAATTATAACTACATTTGGTATATAAGTGCCTAAATATGTAAAGTTAAATATAAATAATAACTTTTAAATATTGAAAAAATAAAATAATATTTAAAGTATTTATTTAAACCCCATATTTCATTTTAATTGCCGAAATTTGAGTATCCGCTATCCGCTTGCTATCTAATCGTATCTCAAATTTCCCGAATACTAAATAAGGTTTCTCGAATATTAGCAATGATTTACGAGCGTAATGTCAACTTCCCAAATGATTTATTAAATTAAATACACTAATAAAGACACGTTCACTTTAAACAAAACACTGAATATCGACTTTATCGCTTGAAAACTTGGAGCACTCAGCTTCTCGAAGTTTCAAATTATTGTTTAATTGTTAGAATTTAATAATGGTTAAGTGTTTTATTTGAGACTTGGTATTATTTTATAATTGAAAGACACTTTGATTGATTATATTAATATGTATAATATTTAATGATATAATAATTCTATAGAATTTCTGCTTGCAATTTAAATTTCTCGCAAAAGAAAGGATTCTAAAATCTACAAAATATAAAATAGGTATTGCTATTGAAAATTCTTTCATTTATAGAAAGCTATAGTATTGTATGGAAAATGTGCTCATTTTCCATTTATTTTTTTCCATGTATTTTTTTCAAACCACATGAAGCCAGAACGGGTCGCCAAGCCTATTCATATAATAAATGCGAAAGTTTCGGATGGATAAACTGACTGACGGACGGATGGATGGATATTTATTTTATATATTATTTGTTTCTCTTTCACGCAAAAAACTACTGAACGGATTTAAATGAAATTTGGTGTACACATATAGATTATATCCTAACTTAGCACATACGACACTTTATGTATTGATTCATATATGCGTAACTGCGGGATACAGCTAGTCTAATATAAAGTCGATTAGCCGTTAAATTGAAAGGAAATTGATGCATGAGAAAATTTATTAGTTACTAAAATTAATGATAATATAACAGTGCTGCTATTTGGTCTCGGCATATGCCACCACTTCCTTTCCCGTGGGTGTCGTAAGACGCGACTAACGGAATTTAATAGTCGCAGAAGCGTCCCTTTTAAAACGTCACCAAAAACCTGCCAAGCGTGGTAACTACTAGCAAAATTCCCCCCAATTGTAAATTGCCATTTATGATAGTCTATGAAAAAGACTTGCGTTCAGCAGTGGAAAGATAACGGCTGATATGATGACGATGATGATTAACAGTATTATTTGCTCAGATGATCCATCAAAGGTTATTTTTTTAATTATAACACGTAGACACACGCGACGTTCTATTCCATTATTATGAATTAAATGATCTCGCTGTTTAGACATTTCACTTGTTGTCCTTGTCGTTCAATTTCGATGAATGATGACCGATGCAAGATCGATGCTCGTGAAAACAATATTAGAGCCGGAAGCTTTAATCTCAAAGCAGTGTTGCCAGATTGAGTATTTTCCTATTGTAATATTTCATAATAAAATGATCTGTTTGAGAAATTTTACGGATGTACAATTTTTGGAAAAAAGTTTTCAAAGAAAAAAAATATTATAAAGAAATTTGTGTATATATATTATATATAAATATATTCATTGACCTTAGTAGCAGTTGCTTTTTTATTAGAATTGTTGTAAAATCTATTCCCACATATTCTGTGATTAGTGTTTGGGAAAAAATAATTATCATTTTGGAGATTATTCCAAATTTTTGAAGAAAAAAAATAGTATCTGATTTCGTTACATCTAAAATGAAAGGCAAAGTGAACTTTCTAATTCCGTCTTTACGCTTTCATAAATTGTCATCGAGTAAGGTCTTTTAAAGTATGATTAAATGTAATTATATGAAAGACCATTATTAAAGGATTCAATTAATTCTGATATCACATCTAATGCGACCACACTTCTCGCCCCATAAAACCCGAGCGTGCTTTTAAGTGTTTCATGCTGTTGCTCCATAATACTGAATGCTTGAAAGATTTTCAGAAAGCGAATACATTAAAGTGTTAGTATGCAATTTTCTCTCGCGACATTTTGAAGTTCGACTTTCAAGGAACCCTTCTACCTATTTTGTTTTCATATCTATACATATTGAAATGAAAACTGTATTTAAATATTTATGTAGTTATAGTTAAAAATTCATTTTAAAAGTATACTAGTTATTACTCCCGATTTCGCCGCGTGACTGAGATAAAAAGTAGCCTATGCCACTCTATTCTTTGGGTATATTTTTAGGTACTATGATTTGTATTTGCATGTTTATGGAGGAGCGTGACCTTCTGATACAGGTGATAACACTTACTAGAAGGTCACAACAACGATCTTAGTATTGTATCAATTTTGTTACGAAATAAATATTTTTTCATTTTTTTTTTCAAGTAATTCCAAAAACGTTCTCAATTCGGTTGTATTTTTGTGTGTGTTTCTTAATAATAAATGTATTAGAATTGTTTAAAAATGTTTGTTGAAAATTGGCGTAACATTCAATTACTACGAGATTTCGATATAAATGTTTATAATTTAAATAACAATTTAGAGATATAATCGAAGTTAATATTTAATAACCCTCAGGCCCCGAAAGGTAAGGAAATGAAACAATATAATATTCTACATTTAAAGCCAGATAGCGGGAATTAATATTACATTTTTAGAGATAACAATTTTCTAAATCCAAAAGAAAGCAGCATTTAATACGCTTAAAGGATTATTCTGTTGCATTTAAAATATTAATACTTGCATCGCGAAATAGTACTAACAGTAGTTGCTTTACCAGATTTTTTATAAATGAAAAATGGAGTAATAACTCCGCTTGTGCTAACGGTATATATCATACACATGGTGGAGCATCAATGAGAGATGATAGGTAAAGATAAAATCAGGTCAGTTGCTCATCCATCGTGATGATTTCGGCAAGAATCTGTTCACTGCTGAACATAGGCCACCCCCATACACTGTCATAAGGAACGAGTCCGTTCCTTATTCATTCTAATTTATCTTCAATCACTGGTGCCTCTTTACCAGCGTATACTAATAGTTTAGGCTGAACTACCATTCCATATTCATCCTTTAAAAAGTTCTGTATGTCGCCATGGTAATCATTGTCGTTACATTTCCCTTTACAGTTAGTGAAGAGGAGTCATGTATAAGAATCTTTGCTACTTGCAGGTTTAGCTATTAGATCTCAAAGGCTCGTTAACTTTAAAAAAAAAAAAGTATTGAAGTATCTTTTTCAAAGGACTTCAAAAAAAGAAGAGATTCTCAATTCTGTGGTGGATTTTCTTTATTTTTGTCAACTCCGTCAAATATAAACCAATTCTGAAAATTCTTTTTTATTTGAAAATATGTACTTTTAAATTAATTCTATAAATTTATGTACGTCTTATTCTATAACTGACATTTTATCTCGCTATCAGAGCACTTTTTAAATAATTAACCAGATATATTGAAATTTTTTTCAATTACATTTGAAAATTGACAAATAATTCCGACATTAACACACTTCGGTAATATCATTATGAATCCCGCTAAGTTTTAAACCAAAAGAATAGTTTTTTTTTTATAAATGTAAAGTACTTTGTAAATGTAATTTTACTAAGAATCCTTTTAAATTTTAAATAAGAAGAATATTTATTTCAAAATACATTATAAGTGTATAAACCAACAGGAACATACCTCCATACAAGTGGCTTTGGTGTTGGGTCAAAGCCAGCGATAGTCCAGCTGGCAACGAGTCACGTGCTCATACGGAATTATTAACATCTTCACACAGACGGACCAGACACGATCTTACTGTCAGGGTATGTATTTTAGACTATTTATTTATTATGAATTTCATTTTCAACCGACTTCAAATAGAAAAAATCAATTCAGTTGTATTTTTTTATACTTATTACACTATAACTCCGTCAGTTGTAAACCGATTTTGAAAATTCTTTTTATTTGAATGGATATACCTACAAATTAGTTGAATAAGTCTTTTTTCAAAATCAAGTTAGGTAGTTTAGTTTTTATATCAAAATAACTGGTTTTGCTACAATTTAAGTGTTTTTTTTGTTGTCTATTCTGAACTGATAGGTATATATTTTTCCAATTTATAGAGTTTTATAATAGAAGGTAAGATAGAATGAAGGAAGGACAGAGGGAGACCGAGACATAGTTACATCAGGCAGATCAAGGAAGGAGTTGGTGTCGTGTCGTATCAAGAGGTGAAGAGACTCCCTGAAAATCGTAGTGAGTGGCAAGAGCTCCACCGACAAGAGCGCAGCTCTTAAATAGGATAGATAGATAGATAGAATTTACATAAACATGTATTGATCTCAAATATATTTTTTTAGCTCTTGGATCCTATTAAAAGTAATCGAAAAAATATCAAACGTATAAATAAAATGAAGTCAATAAAATAATAATAAAAGTCCCAACTTTGTGTCATATTATGAAATGAAAATGTCTCTCCATTTTCATATGAATTAAATTCCATAATTAATGGTGGACATGACGTGTCAGTAACATAACTATATCGCATTATTTCAACGGAGAGCTCAGAGTGTTCGTGAATTATTACAGGTGACTGTACTCGGTTGACGACCAAGACAAAAGGCTTTTGATGTCAGAATCTCAATGGCACATGACAATATGAATGAAAATATCATTGTTAATTGTAGGCTCGCCCAAAATAGTCCTCTTTTCTGACAAAAGACAGGGAATATTATTATATATTTATTTTAAAAAATTCTTCTTAGATTGGATATTTAAGAAATTGTGGGATGTTACGTTCATGTTTATAAGAACATAAAAGCAGTTCAAAATTTTTTTAATTTTTCTGCTTCTATGTTATCGATATTAGAGAAGATTGTATGGTTTAAAATTATTATACCAATATCAGCTCTGATACATTACTATTTAAATGCATTCACTTTTATTAATTAATTATTTCATAGATATTTTTTCAATAAATTTAATTTTACATCATATAATATAAAACACTTTCAAAAATTAAAACATATAAAATTCATTACCGATATATGTGTTAATTTTTTTCTTGTTCTTTTTTTTTTCAGAAAACTAAATTTCAAAATAATTAGGCAATTAAAAGTAGTAGTTTTATTGATGTTATCACTATGTTTCACCATTATCATTTGCTTGTCTTTGTTCCATTACCAATTACAACACATTTTCTTTTTCAATGCTCTAATTAGTTTTATGAATTAAATTTACAACATTACTTTTAAATTCATGGTATATTGTTGTATTTATTGTACTTAATATTAATTTAAACTAAATATAAGTTCCTTTACTGATAATGATTTCTTTAAAATACATTTATACCATAGAAATAGTATAAATTTTAGAGTTTTAACATAAATTACATAGTATCAATTTCAATCCATGTTTGTAGCTGTTAAATTGTTCTAGACAGAAGAACGTATGCAAACACACGCGCGCTCATACATTTCCAATCATTCTTTTTAATTTTAAACAGGTTAAAGAAGATAGTCTCAAGTATACTAAACCGAGGGTCCATCAATGCAACAGCGCGAGTTCTCGGAAAGTTCGCATGCACCTTCCGGATGGACAGAATCAGATCAACAACAACTGTCATCCAGTTCAACGGAGGCGCGACGACACGTTTTTGTAATGTATATGTGAACTTCTTGGTTTCAACTGATTTTTTTTTCCATTGTCTTTGTCTTATTAGTGGAAATATTACAATTGTCTTTTTTTATTTTTTAAAATAGCAATTTCTACATTCCAGCCAATACTTTTAGTTATTATAACTCATATCGTCGTTCTAACCAATTTGTCATAAAAATATCGTCCATGATTATCAAAGAGTGATTAAATAGGGACTCTACTTAGAATGAAATAAGGGTCTTAATGCTTCTTTCTCGATAATGCTTTAAATTCTTTACTTGATAACTTTACTAGCGTTTATAATTTACTATTTATATTGCGACCTCTGAGTTGAACTTTATGATATTACATAATATTATTTAAAACATCTCGTATTTACTTATTCCTTTTACCACAGATAACATAATATTTACTAGACATTTGTTGATAATGAGAATGAACAACCGAAACTGATTGTGTGTATAAATAATGTAAAACAAGAATAAATAATAATCCAGTCGATTGTAAAAAATTAATATCATTTTAAAGTTAGCAAAGATATCGAGTAAGTTTTATTTATTCTATTTATTTGTTATTTATTTATTTTATTCGGAATAACTACGAGGGTAGAGTGAAAAGTTTTCGGCCTGACAATGAAAGACTATGATTTTCAGTAAATAAAAAGTATTTTTATTTTTCTACATAATCTCCCTTGACTTTAATACACTTGATGTAGCGTTTCTCTAACATCAGTATTTCGGAAGTGAGAGTCTAGAAGGTTGTGAAAACATATTTTTGCGGCCCTCTCAACTTCTTTATCGAATGTGAACCACTTCCCAGAAACAAATTTCTTCAAGTTTGGGAATAGATAGAAGTCTGAGGGTGTCAAATCAGTAGAATAAGGGGGATGACCGAGCAAATTGTACCCCAAATCCCGCAATTTTCCCATCGCCAACGCACTCTTATGTGCAAGTCCATTTTAACAAAAAACACGCACGTTTATTGCAAAAATTCGTGTAAATAAACGATTTAAGAGAACAAGTTTAAACTTATCATACGAACTAATGACACATGCACAAGAAAAACAATGTTTTGCTGATTATAACGCCATTACTGCGTCAGGCCGAGAACTTTCCACCTTACCCTCGTACAGCTGTTTACAATTATATAATGTTCTTTAAAAATAAAATAATGTGGAAGTTTACACAAAAAAGTAAATTTTACTAAAAGGCAAATGTAATACGAAGTGCGAGTGTTTTGAATAATGCCGTATTCTAATTATATTTGTTTGTAGCAAAACTGCTATGTCTGAGCTAAAGTCACGAAGGACTGTAATGAATCAGAAGACTATGCTCCAAATGATGAAATACATACTATAAAATTAATCTCTTACCATTAAATTTTAACCAAAACGTAACTTAATGTTGCATCTTAAATTCAGGTAACTCTATTATCACTGCCTTTAATTTCGCCCCAATTACGACCCGCAACGCACCCGTGTGATACTGAAATGTAATTATTTCTGTTGTTTATATTAGTTGATGGTCTCACACGACTGTTTTCCAAGTTTATTATTAATACAGTTAATACGACTTACATTGGGTATATCTATATTATTGAGCAAAAGTTGTTAATTCTAGAATTCTTTTAGCTTTTTATTTAAAAAAAAGTACAGATTATTGTGATGTGAATTCTCATGTTTGGACATTTCTTGCTTACAGATAGAGGGAGTTTAGTCACTTTGATCAGCTACTATAATAAAATAAACGATAATTGATTGCCAATAAACGTGTGATATATGCATTTGTACGAATTTGACACTTATTCATTGAACTTTTAAAAGTTTAAAAATTTGATTTACATTTATATTTCATCATGGCGTAACTTTTTCTTTTAATTATATTTATAGATACTTATTAAGAGCCTTTATATAATTTGTTCTTTGCAATTTCGCTTTTTCCTTTACATTGACTCTATATAAATAAATCTGCCTAGTCCTTTGATATGGCAAGTCTAATCAACATTTATTCCTACTGTATATTTAACTAGAGGTATAATTATGAAGACTAGATAGATATAAAATACTAAGACCGATTTCAGAGTGTCAGGAATACGTGTGGGTATAACGTATTGATTTTCAATCCTTGAACTAAGCTGCAGTTTTCCAACAGTAATAGGTACAGGGGATGTGTCAACATAGTACCATAGAAAAACTTAAGTTTTGTTGACATGCATACTTTGAAAACAGCCTTAATATTATCATTACATAAGCATTTATAAGCCACTTGGTATTGTAAGTACGTGCTTTAAAATATAGGGCATTGTATTTATGATTCGAGTAGCTAAATAAATATATTTAATAAGTATTAATATAATATATTCAAACAAAATAATACAGGGAATATATAGATGGAATTAATGAAGAGTTTAAACTTCTTTAAACTGATGTATCTATATAAGAATTCTCGGACGTTTCAAGTCAGAAGAGAATATATATAATTTCGAAAGCCATTATGCTAATTGAAATGCTGTTAACGTCAGCTGCTAGGGAAAAGTTACTAGCTGTTTGAAATATCAATAAATTTCAATTACCATTACTTTCTGATAAGGATTAAAAATATTATTTAATACCTGTAATTATATTAAAAAAATATATTGATACATATTATTTCAAATACCTGTCACTCTCACTCATTAATTAAAGAGCAATATTAAAGTAATTTAATGTCTTAAATATATTTATTATTTAATTTAAATAATGGGTATAGTAAGCTTCACTCTTTAATTTAATTACAAAATAATTATATTGAAGTGTTTTATTAAACTTTACTTTTTTTTAAATATAAAAGTAATTTAATTTGTTAAATATGTTCATTCTTTGATTTAATATAACAACCGGAGAATATATTATAAATTTAAATTTACTTGGTGTCGGCTAGATTAGTACTCACGACTTTTGTAGACATATATTGGAATAGTAGACTACTGGGATACGACGAACGCATCAATATCTTCAATCTTGAATAATCTGAAGTTATAAAGAAGTTTAAATTTATCATTTTAGAAATTAATGTAGAATAAAATTTTATATAACATAACATTATTTTAATATTTGAACCAAATGTAAATAATACAAATTAAATAATGTATTCGAGATGTGTGTAATAATTATAAGAATAACAGTTATTATTACACTTTTATGTTATTATAATGATAATAAAGAAAAAAAAACATGATGAACATTTGTTTAATCATTTTAAATGAAACAACATATTTAAATATTTTTTAAGCAGTCAGAAAAATAGCTGATTTAGATATATTTCTTAATCTAATGACCGTTCATGAATAATAAAATATATACTTATATAATATAAATAAAGAAAATATTTTAAAATAAATAACTGTGATTGCTATTTTTCAGAAAAATAAATTATAAAAGTATTAAAAAAAAACACCTTTCATCATTTGTTTTATACATATGCCAAAGTAGACACCACTTTAAACTTATGTTAAAAACGAATAAAAAGATAGTAACTTAGTAGTAACTTATCTTCACGATCTACTACATTTTTTTTATTTTTTAACAAAAACTGTCTTCAATTTTAACAAATTTAGTATGGGACCATCCTAAAATTAAATCAAACTAAACAAAAAAAAACTGTATTTTTTTTTGCAATATTTTTATTACATAACATTCACATAAAATATACTTGTATTCAATTCAAAAATCATTTCAACAATTTATTCAGTTTTTATGTTAATTAAGTATCTTAAGTAAGTAGGTACTAAAATACCTATTTATTGCCTATTATTTATCCACAGCACTTTTTAAGTTAATTAGATAAGTGCCAAAGTAGTTAGTCCGGAGTCAGACTAGTCATATTTTGTATTTTATGTCTAGATAAAAGTGCTAATTTTAGTGCTAAGTTGAAATAATAATAACTAAACGTCGGTCTCTAAGCAACGAAGAATTAGATGCCATAAAAATCAACTTAGCACAAAAATACTTTTCAATTATTTCTGTATTTAATTAAAATAGCGAAATAGGTATTATTAAGTAAATATAAGTATTATTATATTAAAAACTGGGATTATAGATTAAACGAATTGAATAATTATGTTTTGTTTAATTTTTCTATAAATTTTATTTATACCTATTTATTAAGGAATATGTATAACTAATTATAGCAGGTCACGGGATACCTACTTGCACACTGAGAAGAAAGTGCCAATAGCCTGTATAGCATAGATTAATATTAGAAGTCGGTTACCACTTTCCATCAGGTGGGGCGTCAGCTTGTTTGCCATTCTAAGTATCATAAAGAAACACCTGAGGGCCTTTAGATGTATTGTTATTTAATTGATCAAAAGCCTATTATGTCGACATTTTATTTATAAAGATGAAAAAGTAAAAAATCATAAAAACTAAGATCAATAGATCAATAGGTCTACTGCGGAAAGTGGGGGGAGGGAGTGTTGATAATGAAGTTAGTAATCCTATGGCTAGCAATATACCCTATTAGGTTGACCTCTACGTGGTCCCCCTGGAAACCATCGTGTCGAATTCCATGTGTATTCATGACGATGGGCTAACTGACCTGCCTTTTCATTCTCACCTATCATCCCTCACTGGTGTCCTGTCAGCGTATACCACTAACGTAGGCGGGATTAACATTCTACTATCATCCATAAAAAAAATTGGTCTACTGCTAAATACCTAAACAGGTTTAAATATTGACTAACGTTTAATCTATATATAATAATAATATTGCATTATTATAGGTCTATATCACCTATGGTATCACTGAAGTTATAATTTTAGTCGACATTTTATGCATTCAATCTACGTAGTCACGAATAGGGTATCTCGTCCAAAAAGTCAAGACACTTATAAACTCTACACTAGGTTTGTCGCTCGAGGTGCAAGAGAGCTCAATACAAAATGGCCTCTATACAAGCACGTTGCACGACGTAGGACACGAAACGCTAAAATGTCGGCGACCTCGGTCGTTTGAATTTCTCTTTCTAATACGTGTGCGATGAGGGAGATAGCGCTACACGATACGATCCGGTACGGCAGTGACGTGTTAAACAAAGGAGTGTGAACAGTGCGAGTTTATTTTGTGCGATATTTATTTCATAATTTTAGTGTATTAATTCATTGGATAATTTGATTACAATGAAGGAATTTAAATATGATGTTATAGAATTAATACGTGGAGTCAGGGAACGGCCATGTCTGTGGAATAAAACATTAGAAAATTATAAAGACCGCGTCGAAAGAAGAACCGCTTGGGAGCAGATATTCCGATCGTTGGATGAAAGATACGACGAAATGTCCGCGGAAGAAAAACGTACAATGGGTATGTAGTTAGGTAGCTATATAAAAATACTTTTTAATATGTAGGTGTGAATAATAGAGAGCGCTTGTGCGTGTGATCTGTTTATCTTTGCTGACCACAATTTTAGTAAACAATCGTTGCATGTCTTTTTATCGAAGTGACATTACATAAAATGAACAAATAGCTAAATTAAAGAGGTCTTTATGTTAACTGATTAATTATATTATTGCTTATTATTATATTTAATTGTTTTATTTTTAAATTAGTATATAAGATTAAAAGGCAATGAAACGATTGTTTACAAATTGTATCAGTTATAGAAAACAGATTAAAAAGTAAAAAAAAAACCTAAAACTAAGCAATAATTAGGTATAGTTACTATCTACGTAGATAGGTACTATATTATTTTTAAATTGTTTATTAAGCTTAGCACAATAAATTCTATATTGATGATACCACTACTAGATGAGTAGGTACTAGATTTTTATAAAAATTTTACTCGTCAAAGTCTAATTTTAAAGGCAGCATTGTACGTAGATATATGTTTTAAATTAGGTATAGGTAGGAAAATACTTATACATATCCTTATGTATAACTTTACCTACCTTCCTTCACCTTGTAGGTAATCTATAGTCTTTTATTTAATCAGCAAATTTCCCTGTAGTAGGTAAAGCTTGTTTTAATAGAACTTAATAAAAATATAAACAAACTATTATCTACTATATGATCAATAGTATTACAAAATAATCCAATTATTTAATAGACTATTTCGATTTGTTATTAATTTCATTTAAATAGTAGGTATTTCTGTAAATCTAGAACAAATGGGTTATCATTTCATTATCATCATTATTATTTCAGCTGTTAACTATCCATTGCTGGACATAAATCTTCATCATAAGAGGAGATTTGCCAGTATTTGCCATGTTTGGCAAGCGGGTTGACAATGTCAGTTAAGCTTTTAGAGATGTTTTAACAGAAACGCTTCTGCCCATCCCTTGACAGTTAAATTACCTTAGTTGACTTTTACGACACCCGCGGGAAAGGAAGGGGTGGACTATTCTATATCGAGATCACACGACCTTTTTTTTTTATTATACTCTATTGATACAATACCTTCCACTAAGTATCTATGTTATACTTTATAGATACATAAATACCTAATATGTCAATATTTTCAGATTTCATTTAATGTTTCCTGGAAGATTTATTTGGAAAAAAAAAAACTAATAATAATGAATAGTCATTAAATAAATTGGGAAATATTTTTATTGCTCTTTTAATAATTAGGTAGGTAAATGGCTTATATTATAGTAAATGGGTACTTACCTACTAATTCTTACGTTAATATAACTTTCTTATCCTCCTAAAAACTTACGTATTCGTTTATAAGTACTTGATTTAGCATAGAATAAATTTTTTAATTTATTCTATGCTAAATGGCATATGCTAAATGGCAAATGGTATGGCAACCTCATAATTATCGGTCATTTTCGAAAACAATTGACTGATTTTTATTGTTAATAATTAATTTATTTATTTAAAAAGTGCTCTACTGGCGAACTTCAAGGTTAATCATAATATATTATGCATGTATCATCCTATATAATCCAGTACTAAAAACTTAGCACCTGTTTAATATTTGATTTTGGTATTTTAATTTTTTTTTTTTTTTTTTTTTATTAAAATGCAATATTTCAGTGACAGTTTTAGACGAACATTGTTGCATGAATAACGTTGGAATTCGCTTGCAGAGAATAATAAAAAAATAAATAAATAATCAATACTGATCGCCCAATTATTTTTGAAAATTAAGAGATAATTGCGATGTTGTCACACTTCGATAAGCTGAAGTATGAACGCTCTTAAGTACTTAATATTTTAAATAAAATCATAGAAAGATACATACTCATTGGTTCATACTCATTGAACGCCATTTCTATTATGCTATAAAATTCTATTACTCACAGAAACCAATACTCAATATGGTAACCATGACAATGGCCTTGGCAAGTAGAATACATACACATAATACAGATTTTTAGTTTACACCAGTGCTTTTTGGTCTTTGTATATTATTATTATTTATATCTCACTGATTCGCATTTAATAGTATAATGAAATGAGCTCATAAACTCGTAAAGAGCGAGCGAAAATATAATTTTTAACACACTTGTCATAAAAATCATACTTAATTTACCTTCATTATCATCATCATATCAGCCGTTAACTGTCCACTGCTGTGAAGTTTTGCCAGTAGTTGCTACGCTTGGCAAGCAATTTAACATCCGCAGTTAGGCTTCGGTGACGTTTTAGAGGACGCTGCTGCTCATTCCTCGATCATTAAATTCCCTTAGATGCCTCTTACGTCACTCACGAAAAAGGAAGGGGTAGCCCATTCTGTGGCAAAATCTAATTCATATTTGGTAGCAAATAATATTTTAAATCACAGATGAAATCATTGTTAACATACATACAATTACATTAAACGATAATGAATTAAAATGTAACAATCGTTACCATGTCTAGATATGAGTTATATTTATTTAACCTCACTGCATTAACGTCAACATTTTCTGATTTTTCAGGAGAGTTAGTTTTGAATAAATGGACAAATATACGTGATACGTTTGTAAAGTCACTCAAAACAAAAATGGGAAAACCAAAAAGGAAATATCTCCTACATCACCATCTAAAATTTCTCATCAATGAATCTGAAGAAGCTGGCGAGTCGATGGACGATACTTCTGAACCTTCGAATTCTTTCATGAAGCAAGAAGAGCCAACAAGTGATACTGTTCTGCAAAGGATAAGTATAAGAAAGCACAACGATAGTGATGAAGACTATGTACCTGATGAAACACCTAGTAGATATACTAATGCTCACAATACAAGGAAACGATCCAAGAAAACAGAGTACAAAGAAGAGGATATGTTTACTAACACAAAAGAATACGCAACAAATAGTGCCTTGAATTTTGTCGAAGTCGAAGAAGCTCAGGATCCAAGAGTAATGAATGAAGATGAAGCTTTCTTCGCGTCTCTCTTACCGACAGTTGTGAAATACAATGAGGATGAACGATTAGAGTTCAGAATACAAGTTCTGTCTGTGATGAAAAAGATAAAGGAAAGTGGAAAGTGGCAGAACTAAGACTTTTACTAGATAATTTATTGTATCTATAGGTAATTAAGTCTAATTATAAAATAGACGTAAGTAAATATTGTTATAGGTTAAGATCCCGGTGCCAATTTCTGTAGGACTAAGGCTTATTATTGAAACTTGGTTTAAAAGAAATCATCATCATCTTCCTACCCTTATCCCTGTTATTATTTGGGGTCAGCGTAATATGGTTTTATCCATATTACAAAAGGATTTAGCTTATAGTTTTACGACCGGCCGTTTGCCTGACGTCAACCCTCTTTGGGAATTTTTGGGTTGGGTTCTCTTTGGGTTTTAAAGAAATACGAATTAAAATTAAATAAAATACACTTGGGTTGTATATTTAAACATATATTAATAAAATATTATATATATGCCAGTTGCCACATGGCTTACTTATGACCCCTTTTTTATATAGTTAACACTTACAATCAGGTGGGCCGTTAGCTTATTTGCCATTCTAAATTGCATAAAAAATTAACCCTATTTTATCGTAAATACAGAATAATAAACTTCTGTTTAGTGTAAATCTTATTAAAAAGCAAATAAGAAAAAATTTACTCAAATTATGGTTAACCCTATTATTATTTATATATCAAACTTAAAAGTCTTTAACTGTTTACTGCTGAATATAAGCCTTCCCCCTTTGAGAGTTTTGCTAGTAATTGCCACGCTTGGCAACCACAATTAGACTTTAAAGATGTTTTAAGAGGGACGCTGCTGCCCATTCCTCGCTCTCTTTTAGTCGGCTCTTATAACACCCACGGGAAAGGAAGGGGTAGCCTATTCTATACTGGGACCATACAGCATAATGATATGTGTATTATGTATAATTATAATAAAATAATTATGGTTATGGCTAATTGAAAGTAGGCGATCCGAGTGCATTGCTTATTTCACTTAAATATCTAACAATTTTTACAATCTAAATAAGTGTAAATAATCATGTTTTGTTTTATTTTACAATATTTAAACTAAGTTTTATTAAGTATAAACTTGCAGTATTCAGCAGAGAGATCTTAACCTATTATGTCTCTTATGACATATTTTAACAATATCCAATAATATCTTTTAAGTTTGTGATTGCAGTCTATTGTATATATTCATTGTGAATATATAAGTACAAAAGTTTTAATAAATTTCATACAAATTGTGTGAATTGTCAATTTACAATCAATATCTATTCATTTAAATGTACAAACATTTATACAATGATATTTATATAATGCTGTATCGTTATACGCTGGCAGGACTATATATTGGGACTATTACTAACAAACCCTTTCCCCCACACAAACATGTTGCACAAATAATAAGTATTGTAACATGAAATGTTATGTATTTTGTTATAATTGAATACTTGTTATGACGAGCTAATAGCGTGGGCAGACGAGATAAAATGAAAAATGAAAATGGTTTTATTCTGACGACATATTATACTGCATTTGTTACTATGCTCCCACATGTGGTTTACAGTGGGAGACACGCTATTCCTAATAACTAGTGCATCATTTAAATAAAATTGTAAGAAAGTAATAAAGGGTAATTAAGGTACCTTATACCACGAAGGTAACAAACAAGTATACAGCCCGTCTGATGGTAAACGGTTACTGTAGCTTATGGACACCTGCAACACTAGGAGTGTCACGTGCGCGTTGCCGACCCTAAATCTTATTTAACAAAGTGTACAAAATTTTGCCCGCATATTACGACTGTCATAGACCTATGGGGGATATTTTTTTTAATGCGTGATAATGGAATGGTAACCCTGCCTGCGGTATCGGTATACACTGGCGGGGGACCAGTGAGGGATGATAGGTGAGGATGAAGCAGGTCAGTTAGCTCACCGTGACGAATCTAACAATAAATCAATCACGATGGTTTCCAGGGGAAACCCCGAGGAGGTCGACCTAATATAGTATATTGTTAGCAATGGAGCTACTTATCCCCATTACTTTTCTACCTTCTTATTTTATTATTACCATTTTTACCTTCTCCCCCTCCTATGAGGGATATTAGGTATGTGAAAGCGCTTTTTCCCATGGCATAGCTCGCTCCAATACAAACTGTCATCCCCTATTTCACCCTTTTAGGAGTGAATTCTTCAAAAAGCAATAAACATTAATTTTAGTTTTGAACCAAGAACGGAAATTTAAAATTTCACTTGTCTAATTCTAAATTAACAAAATTAGATACAAACTTTGGACCCCCTAGGGATTGAATTTTCTGCGTATTATTAATTTACGCCATTTTCCATGGTCTGAATTGGCTCAATATTCAATATTTGAATCGATATATAATAAATAAAGCGAGCTAAAATCGATTAAAACCTTATTCGCAATTTATGCATTGTCAACAAACGGAAATTGAAAATGAATCGATGTAAATTAAAAAAAAAATTACTCAATAAATATTTTGTTTTTGCTTATCAGTAAAGAAAGAATATATTAATATCCATTGAGGACTAAAATATGCTTTCCTTTGCCTTTATTGGTTCTTATTATTCTTTGTCTAAGTCTTGCAAATTATGTAATAAGGATTCATCTCTATATTTTCTTATTAAATTCTAAATATAAAACTGTAAAATCTTGACATAACAAGCCTTCCTATTTCGATAATTGCAGGTTAAATGTACGTATGAGTATACTCATACTCATAAATGCAATATATTGCATTTATATTGAACCGATTTTCGTGATTATTTTTAACCAGAGGGAGACTTTGTACAAAAATCGTTTGCTTTGGTGTTTCCCATTCGTGTTTCAACCATAAAGCAGTTGTGTTTGCATGGCTGTGTTTCGGTTTGAAGGGATATGGTGTGAATTTACAGGGTACAGAGAAATAACACCTGAATTCTCAGGAATGGCAACGCTTGGGGGGTATCATGGCCGAAACAGTATACTCTGTTATATCCACGGTACTGCTCATATTTATAGGCGACGGATACCACTTTCCATCAGGTGGGCCGTCAGCTTGTTTACCATTCTAAGTTGTATAAAAAAAACTTTAATATACTAGCTGTTTCCTGCGGTTTTGCCCACATAAGGTGTCTTATGTATTAAGTTGAGATATAACTTGCTCGTATTTATTTTATTCAAATTCTTTCAGCCGTTTAAGCTATCATTGAGTAACAAATATCTATATATAGTACCTATTAATAGGATAAATTTACTAATAGGTGGGAAGGGATTGTTAGAAATGAGGACAAGCGTCCCCATTGCTAGCAATTTACCCTGTCAGATCGACACACGCGGGTTACCCCTGGAAACAGCTGTGGTTAATCCTTTACAATATTCATTACAATGGGCCAACTGACCTGTTTTAATCACCATCTATCATCTTTCATCAGTGCACCGCCAGTGTATGCTGATAACGCAGGTGAGCATTTTTTTACATCCATAAAAAATCCAATGGATTTATTACTATATAATATTTTTGTAGCCTCGCCCCTCCCACACACACAACACAATAAAAATCTAACGAACCTGAGAAAAAACTTCGAAATTTAAATTTCGTTATCCATAACTTTTGTAAGTTTTTTTCTTCACCACCTAAATCACTTCCGTTGAAACGAAAAATTTCGCGCAGCTTTCCCGCCGTTGTTCTCTCGAAAGTGGTTTATCGCGAGTAAATTACGTTTCAGCTATTAATTTACGCCCAAAGATGAAATATTAACGCGTCACAATTTTGTCGTTAAATCTTCGTAGAATTTTCTAAACCACGAGTTATTTTGGTGCCCCTAGAGATTTTTAGGATTCGTCCAGGGTCCGGGAAAGGTTCGGGAAGTTATTTCGCTGGACTTTGTTATGTATTTCAAAATTGGAGTGAAAAGTGGATTTTCAGGTACTTAGGTACGCTCATTGGGATATATTGTTATTTCCTACTGAACAACAAAATACTCGTAAGTACCTGTATTCTGTAATGTTCACGGTACTGTTCATGTCTATAGGTGACGGTTATCACTTTCCAGTCAGCTTGTTACCAACTAAGTAAAAAAAACAAAGTATCAACTTGATCTTTAAAGCGAGAATTCTTTCAGAAAGAGACTTTATACTAATTTTTCTACAAGAACACCATACCATGTCAGCTGTTAACTGTTCACTGCTAAACAGAAACCTCTCGCTATTAAGGGGTTTTGCCAATAGTTGCCAGGTTTGGCAAGCGGTTTAATAACCGCAGGTGCGCTTTGGTGATGTTTTAGGAGGGATGCTGCTGCCCATGCCTCGACTATTAAGTTCCTTTAGTTGTCGTCACGTAGTTAGTCTTTGGTGATATCTTTGAAGACTAACTGCGGTTACCAATCCACCTACTAAACGTGGCAACTACTGGCAAAACTTCTCTTATGAAAAAGACCTAACTTCAGTAAAACTTTTAATATCGAATCACAAATAACGCAGATTGCTGAAAGGAAATAAAAAGGCGCTGAACTACGTCTACATCATCTGTCGAGTTGCACGAAAATCTTTTGTTTTTAGTGAATGATAATGGAAGGGTAATACGCTGGCGGGGCACCTGTGATGGATTACAGATGAGAATGAAAAAGCAAGTCAGTTATAGCCTATCGTGATGAATACATCTGGGATTCAGCATGATGATTTCCTGGAAAGATTATATTGAGATCGACCTGTCAGGGTATATTACTAGCAATGTGACTGGTAGTCCACTTTACCAATAATCCCTTCCTCCTTTGTTGGAAAATGGTTGGTAAAATCTATAAGTTATTTATTATCCATACTAAAATTGTTAATGTGAAAGTGAGTTTGTTTGTTTGTTACTTCATTAACCAATCACTATGAAATTTAGTATACATTTACTATATGGTACCGAGACGAATATATGTAATCTAATTTTTTTCGCTCACTTCACGCAGACGATGTCGCAGGAAAGTGCTAATGATAAATAACTTATAGATTTTGTATGAACATATAAATCTGTTTCAATAGAACTTAATAGAAAATAACCAAGTTTTGTTGAAATCACAAAAGCACTCCCAAAATAAAATTGGTAACAAATCGGAACGTTCAATCAATTAATCGATTTTCGATTTTTACAACTATTGGAAATCAGTAGACCGTCTTATTATTCTTTTTTTTATTATTTTTTTATTAATTTCTATTGAAAAAAGTCATTCATATATTTATGAGTTTCATTACAATAATGAAATAATTAATGAAAAATTTCAGTTTCACTGATAAAACTCCTTTCAAAAGATGCTAAGAATTTTGATGTTATTTTGAATATACATTTTTCTAATAAAGACAGTATTTATTATTTGTAAGTAAGTACTTATTGCAAATGTGTTAAAGCATACGGCCTATCTGATGACATTCACACCTGTAAATCTAGTTGAATGAAGAAACCGATATACTATGAAGACTAAATTAAGTTTTATTTATTTATTTCTTATTGCATTCCATAATATATTTAGTAGATAACATTTCAATTATGGACCCTGTCGGGCACAGCAAGTAGGAGAGAGGAGGACAACACTTTTTTCACTTTAGAAATAGTCTAAGGATCTATTACAATATTATCCAGTCATTGAAATTGTATCACGATAGGTACGTATTTTTTTTTTTATTACTATTATTCATTTAAGTATTGGTGTGTATCTATTCATGTCATTCTATCATACAAGTTACCTGTACATAAGAAATATTTATAGCTTTAATAGGCAAATTTTTGATACCCTGGGCTATATTATTGTACATTTCGTATCGCAGCTGCCCATCCTTCGATCAATAAATTCGCTTAGTTGCCTTTTACGACACACATGGGAAAGGAAGGGGTGGCCCATTCTATGCTGAGACCACACGGTGATTTATTTATATGGAGCGGCAAAATTAAAAAAAAAATAGCTAACTAGTCAGCCTATTATCATATATATTAAAAAAAAAGCCTATTTTTCGATGTTGCAAGTAATAATTACAATATCATATGTAGTATCCTTATTTAAGCACACATTGACAGATCGTGTCACTCACACAAGGAAAAATAGTTGGATTCTTTTATTCGAAACGTTTGTAGAGAAATACTCCATCTAGGAGTTATTAATCTATGTATACATATGTGACATTTTGCTATAATATTATGTAACTTGATAGCAACTTGTTAGAGCCATTCAATATAGTAGTTTATTGTATAACGTTTATTTTACTTATTATCTATATTGT